GCCCACCCCTGCTCTAAAATGAAGGAGTGGATAGCGAAAAGGCACTAGACAGGTATATGACTATTTCTAACTGTATTTTTGATGAATGCTGTACATAAATAGAATTTCTGAGATGGGTCAAAAGGAGCAGACACATTCTATCTGGCATGGCAACAGGCATTAAAGTAAACTGGAATACACAAAGTACACGTAAATAGTTGATGGTTAATTCTGCTGCCCTGAAGTCATCAGGAGTCTTGCTACTTAGACCCAAAGCGATCACATGGCTGATCAGTGTCACGCAAGCAGATCGTGAACTTACTATAAGTCTGTAAAGCTAGAAGTTGGACTTAAGTCCCCAGAATCTGTCAAGTGTCTTCATTGCACAACCATCCTTTCTCAGTATGTTTTACTACTTATTTCTTAGTTCCAAAGAACAAATAAATAGTAAAACTTACTGAGAAAGGATGATTGTGCAATTAAGGCTCTTGACTGAGATTTTGGGGACTTGAGTCCAACTTCTAGCTTTACAGACTTACAGTAAGTTCACGACCTGCTTGTGTGACACTGATCAGCCACGTGATCTCTTTGGGTTTAAGTGAATGGTATGTAAAGCAAGGTTAATAATGCATCCTTACGACCACATTTTGTCTGGTACTATTCACAAAATTAAAACGTGTTTTCAGAAATAGCTTCAGATTTTGTGTGTCAGTTTTTGTCTGTCCAACTTGAGATTAAAATTTTTAAAGTTTTGAACTGTGATCTTAAACAGGGAGCTCTTAAAATAACTTGGAATTACATGAAGAAGGAAAAATAAATCAGAGGAAAAGTCTACACTATTAATGAGATTGTACCACCTACGCACTTCCGAAAACCCCTATGGAATTTTTGTATTGCCAATCATTATAATTTAGTTTTAAAAGCTTTTTATAGCTAGACAGGAACAGTCATAATTCATGAATATTAATACAACTTCTTGAACATGGAAATTACCCAATATGAAATCTCCATAATTTTGAATGCCTGCTTGTATGGAAGGATTTTATTTAAAATCTGACAGTGAAGTTGCATCTGCCTGCATCATAATTTTAATCACTACTGGAATACAGTGCCCAGTTCTGGTGTCCCCATTTCAAAAAGGAAATTGAAAACTGGGAAAACATTTAGAAAATAAAGTACAATTAGATGTCTGAAATCATGGCTTATAGCAAGAGATTAAAGTTAAGGCATGATTGGATGCCAGTCCACATGTTCATAGGTGAAGAAATGTCTGATCGTAAGCATCTCTTTAATCTCAGCAAAATAGGTATAATGAGGCCCAGTGGCTGGGCAGTGAAGCTAGACAAATATCAGGCAAGAGGTAAAGTGCAGATTTTTAATAGTGAGGGTAAGTAACTATAGGAACCAAATTACTGAGGGCTCTGGTGTGTTCTCCAGCACTTGAAGTCTAAATCGGGACTGAAGGTTTGTCTAAATAAAATATAACTTGTCAATGGGCTTTAAGCAGACATTGCTGAGTGACCCTCTATGACCTGTATGCAAGCTATAGGTAAGAGGTCAAACTACATGTTCATGGTGACACCTTCTGGCTGTTTGAGCTATGGATCTAATGCTAGAAATTTGTTGGACCAGGAGATAAATGTTTTCCCCCTTGATCATTGGCTGGGACCAGCACTTGGAAAGGTGTACTGGTCTTGGAGATATTTGTATTGCCTCATTAAGTGTTTCTTGCCCTACTAGATCATGAGTTATTGGATCTTAAAAACATATCATATTCTGATTTACAAACTTGCTTCCCTTTTTACATTTCATTTCCCAGTCGTGCAGCATTATTTCTAAATGGAAAACAAAAGATTACCTCCTGTTTAGCCTCTAAAATGTTTAAAGAACTGAAATCTTACCCCCATCCACACAAATAAATGAACAGAGGAGGAGTGCTTCTCTAGGTTAAAAACTATAAATCCTTGTGATCAGCCATGACTTTACACAAATACTAACATATACATCTCAGTTTTCACGTGTGTCAAGTGTGCATGCTCATACCAGTATTCTGCGAAGTGTAAGCTTTCTAACCCTACCTCCCTTCTGGGTTGAGTGAGTATTTTCTCCAGCCTGGAAATTTGTAGCTTTCTTTAGACTTTCAACTTAGGCTACTTGATTTGTTTCTGTGCTATAAAAACAGATGCATTTGAAAGGGGATTGAACATTTATGTTGATGTCAAGAGAAAAGAAAAAGAAAGGAAGAATGGGAGGAAAAGGAAACAGTCCTAGCAGAGAAGGGGATTTTGGTCTGCAAGGCTGAATTCTTGCACCTGGCTGCAGTAGTCAAAGTGATTGGATGCAGTATGGCTTAAGCATCCTTGCTACATGGGCAAGAGCTCTCCATCTGGTTCAGAAGTCATTTATACTTTGGATCACACTGGGACTCACTCTGAGAGATGCTGAGCACTTACCTCTTGCCTTCACGAATCTGGCGCATTCACGAATCAGTTGCTTCTGTAAAATTAGTTTTCACAGAAATCTTTGACGTTGTGCCTACTGACAAACACATGCCTTGGACCATCTAGAGCAGCATTTCTCAACCCGTGGGTCAGGACCCAAAAGTGGGTCTCAAGAGTATATGAAAGGGTCGCCAACAAACATTAGAAATGGGTTCTCCTTTAAAGGAGAAAAACATGGGAAAAGGGTGGAAAAATTTCCCTTACAGGCTGGCAGAGTTCCAGCCTACAAGATGTTGCTTGGAGCCCCCCATGCCCCACACACCCACTCCTTGTCCCACACTGGGACCTGGGGGCTGGGGCCAGCAGGTTGGGAGTGAGGGGTACTAAGTCAGGACTGGCCTTCGAAGTTTATGAATGGATCCTGGTACAAAAAAGGTTGAGAATCACTGATCTAGAGCATGTATCAGATGCATTACCTGCAGCCCAAATACAGCCTGCAGAGTCAGGTCATCCAGCCTGCCAATTTTGCAACACCTGTGGCTGTGATGGAGGATCTTTCTGCAACAGCAAACAGGTGCCCAGGCGACAGTCACAGTGCTGCTGAGAGCAGGCCTAGCACTGTGACTTGTTCCCCCCTGTGGCAGCCAGGCACCCATGATACCTGGCTCTTCCTGGGGTGCTGCTGGGGTCCAACACCCACTTAGCTACCAAGTATCCAAGTGAAAACAGTGATGCTGGAGACCAAGCAGCACTGCAAGAAGAAGCCCAGCACCCAGTCACATCCCTGTCTGGACCAGCTGGAGTGGATGTCGTGCATGCTGGATCCAGCTTGCAGAAGTCCCTGGGCCCGATCTGGCCCTCAGGCTGGTCCCAAGCCATTCATCCAGCCTGCAGGATCAGATGAATTTGACACCCCTGATCTAGAACTTCTGAGAAGTCCTTTCTCCCCAAAAGGTCCTAGACTTGGTAATTCCTGCCATTAATAAAATATTGTTCTACTCTGTTGTCCAGTAATTACCACTTCCTTAATACAGTGGGAAGCATTGACTGTGACAGCACAGGAAGCACCTATAGTTCTCCTACTGTCTGCATCCACTTGTATGCCTGAAAAGTCACAGGGGAGGGTGTCAGTCTGTTTCTACCTGTTCAGGCTAGGGTATGCTACTTTACTAAATCAGAGATTAATCTTAAGCCAGAAAATGTGGTGTGTTGCAAAATCAGCATGTGGTGTTTGGAATCATTTCTGTATATACAATAGGAGTAGCTGTGGTTTTAACTAGCAGTCGATGTGTACAAGATACAAAAACAATCCCTTAGTAGCAAAGAACACATCTGGATCAATCTCCTGCCCTTAAAATGAAATCACAAAAATGCGCTGAGAAAAAGGCCCCATCTACTTTTCATGTTAGCGGTTTTTAAGCCATGGTGGAATTGGATCCCACTTTGGTGGCTAGGTCTACTTAGGTACCTAGTTTGGAGAATAGGATCTGACCCATAAATTTTAGGGTCCATTAAGGATCATCTAGTCTAAAATCCTGTGTACCACAAACCATTTCTCTACCAATGAGCCCAATAACTTGTCTTCAAACAGGCATCCAGGCTGAATTTGAAGACTTCTAGAGCTGGGGAGTCCACTAGTTTCCTTGATAATTTGTTAATCACCCTCAGCAGTGAAAATTGGAGTCTAATACACAGTCTGACTTTGTCTGGTTTCAGCTTCTAGACATTGGTTTGTGTTATGCCTTTCCCTGCTAAAGTAAAGCAGGGTATGGGGTATTTTTCCCTGTGAAGTTGTAGAGTCATTGAAAGTCGCACTTACATTTATCATTTGCCAGCCATGGGTGCATATCACATTGGTTGATTTGGTCTGTATTTCTGTTTTACTGCCAATTACCCTGTGCTTCCAATACACTTTTCCCCAAGCTGCGCAAGAAGCAAGCCTACGTGGAAAAGGTTGAGAAGCTGCAGCAGGCTCTAACCCAGCTGCAGGCAGCATGTGAGAAACGGGAGCAGATGGAGCGGCGATTGCGCACACGCCTGGAGAGGGAGCTTGATTCGCTGAGAATGCAGCAGGTAAGAGACCAGCCTTGAGCCACAGACCTGGGATCATATACCCAGGTCTGCCTTCCACCCTTTGGTGCCCTCCACCCTTTGCTATGTCACTGAAAACAACAGTGATTTTTTTTATTTGTCCATGTTTCATGTACATGAATAGACCGTAGACTTTACATGTTCATGAGCTACTCTCTTACCACCAGTAAAAATGGTAGTGTGAATACTGCACTAGTTACTGGCAGCAGGAGTGAGCTGGAGTTTCATAGTTTCATAGTTGGTCGGGTCGGAAGGGACCTGAGCAGATCATCAAGTCCGACCCCTGCCATGGGCAGGAATGAGTACTGGGGTCAAACGACCTCAGCAAGGCGTTCATCCAGCCTCCTCTTAAAGACCCCCAGGGTAGGAGCCAGCACCACTTCGCTTGGAAGTTGGTTCCAGATCCTAGCCGCCATGACAGTGAAGTAGCGCCTCCTTATGTCTAGTCTGAATCTACCCTCTGCCAGCTTGTGACCGTTATTTCTAGTCACTCCTGGTAGTGCTCATGGGAACAGGGACTCTCCCAATGCCTGCTGGTCCCCTCTGACTAGTTTGTAACAGGCCACTAGATCCCCCCTCAGCCTTCTCTTGTGGAGGCTGAACAGGTTCAGGTCCCGTAGCCTCTCCTCGTAGGGCCTGCCCTGCTGCCCCCTGTTCATGCGAGTGGCCTCCTCTGGACCCTCTCCATGTTGTCCACATCCCTTGTGAAGTGCGGCGCCCAGAACTGGACGCGGTACTCCAGCTGCGGCCTGACCAGTGCCGCATAGAGGGGGAGGATCACCTCCTTGGCCCTGCTTGAGATGTATCTGTGGATGCATGACAAAGTGTGGTTGGCCTTCCTGACTGCATCCCCACACTGTCGGCCCATGTTCATTTTGGCATCAATAATGATTCCAAGATGCTTTTCTGCCTCTGCACTGACGAGAAGGGAGTTCCCCAGCCTGTAGGTATGGTGCTGGTTCTTCCTCCCCAGGTGCATCACCTTGTACTTCTCAGTGTTGAAACCCATCCTGTTCTCATCTGCCCACCCCTGTAACCTGTCTAGGTCCAATTGCAGCCTATTCCTCCCTTCTAGCTTGCCCACTTCTCCCCACATCTTAGTGTCATCTGCGAATTTGAACAGGGTGCTTTTTACCCCCTTGTCCAAGTCACTGATGAAGATGTTGACCAGTGCGGGCCTGAGGACCGAGCCCTGCGGGACCCCACTGCCCACAGTGGATGGGTCGAAAATGACCCATCCACTACCACTCTCTGGGTGCGGCCCTCCAGTCAACTAGTGAGTGGGAGAGGTCTTTTCACATAGCCACATGGTGTACAGATGCCAAAGGGGAAGGGGCACTGTAGTTAGGAGGCAGTATTTTGTGGGAAGACTTCAATGTTGCCATTCATTAGGAATGCCAGTGTAGGAGCGGGTGCTTGTGGTGAGATTGTGCAGAGACCTTGTGGTTATGTGTACTATTTGCCCTTATCTTATCTGCTAAGAGTTACTTCCCTTCTCTCAACAAACAGAGAAACTATCCTGTAATGCCGAATTAAGGGTGTTTCCAAATCAGCAGTTATTTCTCCAATCCCAGCTGTTTTCATTAACCAATACACCCCTTTTCCTATCTGTTTGTTGTAATAGTTGCAGGGCTGGACACAGACATAGGCGAACTGGGCAGCTGCCCAGGGCCCAGACAGAAAGGGGGCCCAAAAATGGTAATTTTTTCCCGTTGTCCAATAATTATTATCATTATCTCTGGCAAAGGGGGGCCTGATGCTAAAAGTTAAGCCAGGGCCACCAGGAGTCTAGGTATGGTGCTGAATGGTTGCAAGAGTTTCTCTGTGATGTGGCCCTTGCCTCACTTAACTTGCAACTGAACTGGACTCATGCAGTGCTCTTCATGTGGGGCTATCTGTGGAAGCCGCTTGGAAACCAGTCCACAGTGAAGGTAGTAGCCAGGATGTTTAGTGCATTTTCCAAAGAATGCAGTTACTCTTGTACTGCAAGAGTTGCCTGGACTTTCTCTTTTTCTCTAGATCCAACTCATATTGATTTCCCTAGATCTGGGGTTGTCAGCCGGGGGTATGTGTACCCCTGGGGGTAGTTGGGATGGTCCTAGGGAGTACACGTGGCAGTGCAGGGAGGCGGCACATGGTGGTGGCGAAGAGTGGTGAATGCTGGTGGCAGCCACACGCTGTTTCCCCGCCCCCACTCCACCATCATTCACCACTCCATGCTGATGATGCGCCACCAGCTTTGTGTCTGGATGGCTTGGCACCCCCCCCCCGCCATCTGGAAGGGGGTACACTCTGAGAGGGGTACGCACCAGAGGGGGTAGAGTCCTTAAAAAGGTTGAAAAGTGGCTGGGAAATTGGCTCTGTGGTCAGACCCAGAGGGTGGTAATTGATGGAAGTCAATCGTTATGGTGCCCTGTGACCAGTGGGGTCCCCCAAGGCTCTGTCCTTGGACCCATATTGTTCAACACCTTCATTAAAGATGTGGACATTGGAGTCAGGAGTGGACTGGCCAAGTTTGCCGATGACACCAAACTCTGGGGCAAAGCATCCACACCCGAAGACAGGAGGGCAATCCAGGCGGACCTGGACAGGCTCTGCAAATGGGTGGATGAGAACCTGGTCGTGTTTAACACTGAAAAATGCAAGGTTCTCCACGTTGGGAGGAAAAACCTGCAGCATCCTTATAGGCTAGCACTACAGAAGAAAGAGACTCGGGGGTCATCATTGACCACAGATGAACATGAGCCTGCAATGCGATGCTGTGGCTAGTAAAGCGACTAAAATGCTAGCTTGCATCCATAGATGCTTCTCAAGCAAATCCCTGGATGTCATTCTCCCCTTGTACTCGGCCTTGGTGAGGCCGCAGCTGGAGTACTGCATCCAGTTTTGGGCTCCACAATTCAAAAAGGATGTGGAGAAGCTTGAGAGAGTCCAGAGAAGAGCCATGTGCATGATCAGAGGTCAGGAAACAGACCTTACGACGACAGGCTGAGAGCCACGGGGCTCTTTAGCCTGGAAAAGCGCAGGCTCAGGGGTGATCTGATGGCCACCTATAAGTTTATCAGGGGTGACCACCAGTATCTGGGGGAACGTTTGTTCACCAGAGCGCCCCAAGGGATGACGAGGTCGAACGGTCATAAACTACTGTGAGACCGTTTCAGGCTGGACATAAGGAAGAATTTCTTTACTGTCTGAGCCCCCAAGGTTTGGAACAGCCTGCCATTGGAGGTGATTCAAGCACCTACATTGAACACCTTCAAGAGAAATTTGGATGCTTATTTTGCTGGGATCCTGTGACCCCAGCTGACTTCCTGCCTTTTGGGCAGGGCGTGGACTCAATGATCTTCTGAGGTCCCTTCCAGCCCTAATGTCTATGAAATGTATGAAAACCCCTGCCCTAGATATCTGCAGGCTGCATTCAGAGGGACCCTTGGTTGAGGCCTCCTTATTCAGAGGTCCATAAGGTACTTAAGGCTAGATAGTGAAGTATTGAGTGACAGCCTGTGCTGACCAAGTCTGTGGTGTGGAAGTACTCACATAACACTCGCTAAACTCCCATTGTCCTGACCCAGCTTATTCCTGGCTTACAAAGCCTCTTCTGTGGTTGCTAAATATAACAAACAGTTTCTAACTCAATGGATAGCCAAACTGATGTCAATGCATTCTGGAGAACTGTCACATGCTTAAGACTTATTTTTTTACTAGTCACTCTAAAGGGTTCATTGACTCCCTGCGGCGTCATCAAAACACCTGCATTATGGCTGTGTGCAGCACTGAAGTAGAATCCTGGATGCTTAATATACATGACTAGACACAGGGGCAAATGGCATCTTTAATTTTGTTTTGCGATCAGGGCAGTCAGTTTCATCCCTATCAAAGGTCACCTTGCTGTGGGTGTCAGGTTCTTGCTATTTTGGATTCATCCCTTCATTTAGACAATGCCTTCCTAAATTGCTGTTTTTTACTGGTAGTTGGGTGGACTGTTTATTATTTTTACCGTACCGTTGCTTGATGCTGCTTGGCTTGCTTGGCTTATTCAAGCCCATGCAAAAACACTGCTTCCAACACAACTGTTGGAACCAAAAGCTTGGATTTGCCATCTGTGCTGTGTCTGAAGGGGCCAGTATATGCTGCAAAATTTCTTTTCAAAAACCATCTGTTGCACCAGAGATGCTGAGGGCTTGAGGAGAAAACATTGTTTGTACATGTGTGTCCAAGCAAATGTAAAGGATGCAGCCAAGGACCTGGCCCTTAATGTCAGTATGCTTTTATTAAGAAGAGGCAAGGTACAGAAGGATGCTCAGACATTCTCTAGTGTAAGACAATGTTGCATTTGGTCCACATGAATACTGGCACCAGTACAAAATATTTTACATGACTGCAAAGAGCCACTTTCTCCTGTCACCCTGGAATATTATTCAAACATAGGTTAGATCCAAAATTGGACAGGGATGGGGATAGATTGTACATGGGTCTATGAATGTCCTTAGATTCTGAGTTTTTTTGGCAGTCTTGTGCCTTTGTGCTTAAGTGTATGCTTGGAGGCTTAGTTTAACTATATTAACAGCGCAGTTACTCTTCTAGGTAAGCAACTGTCTTTCCCCCTTTTACCGTGTATTTCGTGCTGATTTCTGTCAGGTGTTATTTCAGGTAAAGAGGAGTTTATGAAAAAGAAGAACATGAAGAGTTAGTTAAGAGAATTTGTAGCTAGCAGCCAGTACATATGACTTTGGGCTGCAGATGGTCACCAGATGTATACGCTAGTACATTAAACTACCACTTAGAGAAACTTCTGAATGGTGTAAAAAGACACATAAAGCATGACACATAGCTTTAACTCTTAGAAAGTTAACACATTTCCCCTTGAGAAACTCTGTGGCTTCCATAGCCCTTCTTTAATTAGGAGCTGTTACCCCTGTAGTGAATGAGTGCACTGGTATGTGGTGTTTATCTTGTGACTTCAGAATAAAAGAGCTTATTCTGCTTGCAGTTACATAGGTGTAAATTGGGAGTAACACTACTGATGGTAGAGAGTTTATTTATTTATTTATGTACAGTACCCAAAAGCTTGTCCAACAGCTCTTTCAACTATACAGTTGGTCCAGAAAAGATGTTGCAAAAAAATCCTTGCCCCTTGGACATTTCCTGAGCTATCATAACTACAACACTAGCATATATATTTGATTTATATGCTGTCCTTCCCAGCAAAGGCTCAGGGCAGCTTATAGGAAGAGAATATTATAATTTAAAAGGGACCTAGTTTAGAGGGTATCTGGTGATACTCTATCTCAACTGAGTTGCCCAAATAGGTCTAACAGCATTTCTGTCAGTCCACAGCCTCTGTCATCATATTGGGCTGTGGGTGTCGATTTATCTCCTGGTTCTGGCACAAGCCATGCACCTACTGGGAGTCCATGTCCATCTCTCATTGGCTTACCATCTCCAGACAAATGTCCAGGCTCAGAAGACCAGTCAGGTCTTAAAACACTGTCTCCATCACTACCTGAATTTTCAACAGAATAATTGATTCTCATTCCTAAAGTTCACACAATTTGCGTACAATAGCTCCAAGCATATCTCAAACAGACAGAGCCCATTCTTTGCAAACTATGGGTTCTACCCCCAGGTAGACTTACCTGCAAACTCCAACAACCCCACAGCTAGAGAATGGGCATACCACATTTATAAAATCCAGGAGGAATTAATGCAATACCTGGATAAGACAAAAGAGGCCTGTAAGTGACAGGCAGGCCAGCACTGACAGCCACAGCCTGCCTGTTTTGTGGGACAAAGTCTGGTTGTCAACCAAACATGTCCACACTGATGCATGCAAATTAGACCACCACTTCCTCAGCCCCTTCCACACAACCTGCCAAATCAATCTGGTAGTCTTTAAACTACAACTCGAGACACTGAAGATACATACACCTGGTATACACCTGGTGTACACCCTGTCACTATTTAGACTCCGTATAGAGGATTCTTCCCCTCCACCAGTTCCTGTAACAATCCAGGGATGGGAGGAGTACCTGGTCCGTGAGATTTTAGACTCAGTGGAGATGAGGAAAGTTGCATTACTTAATAAATTGGGAGGGATACAGGCCTGCAGACCACACATGGGAATGACCTGAAAACATCCATGAACCCAACTTGGTGAAAAAATTTCCATGGCCTCAAACCTAGTGCCTCAGCCTAGCCAACATTGCAGCTCATCTCAGCCTGTTGCCCCATAGCTGATCATCCAGACTGGTCATGCCCAGCCTGAAGCCCTCAGCAGGACCTAACTCTCTCCTCTCTCTCCCTCTCACTGAAGTGGCTGTCTAGAGTCAGCTGACCTTCCACTTCTCACATATAAACCCCTGAGCAGGAACAGAAAGTGTCTGAGCAAAAGGGCTGTACCTAACCCATGTTTGCTCTGATGCTCCCTCCAGCTTGTTCTCTGCTTGATCTTTCAGCTCTCTGACCTGGCTCATGGTACCATACAGCAGTGTGTAGATGCACCCAAGGTCTTTTAACTTCTGGTCCTGTGCATTCTCGTCCCTGTTTTGCATAAGCAGTGTGTCATTTTCTCATCCACAGTGTTCAGAAAGATTTGAAAGGAAACCGTATTTGTTTTGCTTGTCCCAGAGGTCAGACATTTCAAAAGATGATGCTAAATGAGACCTTGTCTAGGTAAACAAACCGATCAGTGTGTTATCCATTATGTGAAAAGACTGCTTTATCCACACTGATTTTTTTTTGTTTGTTTGTTTCTACAATTTAGTATTTATTTAAGTGTCATTATTGTGCTCCATGCTGTAGAAGTCAGGTTTGGTCTGTAAATTTACACACAGACAGAAAGTCTGAATCTCTTACTTAAGGAGCCAGTGGTGATGTGCATATATTTACATTCATGACTCTTAATAGTTTACCAATTGCAGCTTTATTTTAGCATACTGTGTCCCTTTGCTTCTTTTTTGGTGTTTTTCTTTTTTCTGTTTCCTATATAACCTTCTTAGGGACACGCAAGAAGCAAGGATTTTTGTGGGTGATACTTATACCAAATACTGTCCATGCACAATAGAAGAGTGATAAAATATCTCAAAAGAGGTGTCTTTTATAAGAACTGTCATATTTTCCTACCAAATGCTAGGTGTGGAATACGCCACAGAGCTCTTGCAGCCCATGGTAAACAGCTGGTGTCCTAGTTAGCATCATGGGATCATAGAAAGCAGTGATGGAAGGGAACTTGTCTGAAGGGACAGAAGAATAGAAAAGGAAAGTAGTGAGGGGATGTCTGAGCAGTGCCCTCCAGAACCCCGTCCAGTGTGTGCAGCATGGGGCATGCTGGAAAGGTTACACTCCCATGCATTGATATGGGCGGTAGGCAGTAGATATACTGCCCCTGCCAGTCTATCCCAGAATCTCATTGTGTGTTCAGCAATCCATGAATCAGGTTGTATTTACAGGTGTGTGATCACAGCTTATGTCAATTCATTTCACAGTCTTGTGAAGCACATGCCTCTTTATGGGTAGGCGGCAGGAATGCAAGCTCTGCCAGCCCATTTCACTACCCCATGAACTTTTAATATACCATGTTCAACAGTAGGGCTGGCATTTGTAACCTGGGGATTACAGTGGACAATAAGCTGAATGTGAGCCAACAGTGTGCCCTTGTTGTAAAGAAGGTTAAAAGCATCCTGGGCTGCATTGGTAGGTGTGTTGCCAGCAGGTCAAGGGAAGTGATTCTTCCTCTCTCTTCTGTACTGATGAGGCCACATCTGGAGTACTGTGTCCAGAAAGGATATGAACAAATTGGAGAGAGTCCAGTGGAGGGCAGCAAAAATGGTTAGGGGCCTGGGGCACATGCCTGCTGAGGAGAGTCTGAGGGAACTGGGCTTATTTACTCTGGAGAAGAGAAGACTGAGGGATTTAATAGCAGCCTTCAACTACCTGAAGGGGGGCTCCAAAGTGGATGGAGGTTCGATATTAGGAAAACTTTCTCATGAGGAGGGTAGTGAAGCACTGAAACAGGCTGCCCAGAGAGGTTGTGGAATTTCCATCCTCGGAGGTTTTTAAGACTTGGCTAGACAAAGCCTTGGCTGGGGTAATCTCATTGGGAATGGCGCTGCTTTGAGCAGGGGGTTAGACTAGATAACCTCCTGAGGTCCCTTCCAACCCTCATTTTCTGTGATTCTGTTTCCCCACCTTCTGAGTGTGGACACCAGCTCTGCCAGCCTGGTTCAGTTCTCAGAAACTTTGTGAGGACCCTTAGCTAGATGTTTTACACTCTCCAGCTATAGCACATGTATCACTTTCTTAACAAAAAACATGCTTGCACAATGCTGTTGAGTTTAGTCACAGATCCTAGAGCCATTTTTCCTTTTCCTTCTTGTGGGCAATAACTCTTAGGTTTGACAAGTAGCAAGTTCTTCGAAAGCTTCAGGACCCTTAGTGGATATTGACGTGTGGAGGAGCCTGGGTAGTTTGGTAGAAGATTTTGCTGGAAAGATTCCTGCAGCTCTCAAGTTGGGATGGAGTGAGACTCCATCATTGTTTTTCTTTCCCTCTTTCAGAAACATGGGAACTACCAGCCAGCCAGCCTGCCAGAGCATAATGCCCCAGCACTGATGGAGTTGGTTCGGGAAAAGGAGGAGAGGATTCTGGCTCTGGAAGCTGACATGACTAAATGGGAGCAGAAGTATCTGGAGGAAAGCACAATCCGGCACTTTGCTATGAATGCTGCAGCCACAGCTACGACAGAGAGGTGCGGTACCATTGGTTCAAGCAGTTGACAACATGCTTAGTCAAATGAAATTATGAATAATAACAAGGAATCAGTGTTTGCCTAAGGCTAAACACTGCTTATACTAACCAGGAAAATAATTCCTTCAATGGCAATGGGACTGCTCAGTGGAGTAAGTCCACCAGAATTGTCCTTTAATGAACACAGGATTTGCTGTTCTGGCTCAGGATGAGTAGTCCATCAAGCCAGTGACTAGCCTCCAGCAGTGGCCTATAAATGGTGCTTCAAAGGAAGGCATCTTAATACACCTGACTATATGTTGCTGGGGGAAAGAAAGTGTTCATCCAAGTATTCTGCTGTCGGGAACAAACTTCCCTTCATGTACAGCTAAATTCTACAAATAGTTCACACAGACACAGGCATTGTAATATACCCAAGGGGTGAGTGCATTGACTGTGGGCTTGCGTAACACCCACAACTTTCTTTGACTCCGTTACGCTTGGGAGTGCCCTGGGAACATGGTTTGTAAACTTTCTGTGCAACAGCTATTACAAAGCATCATCACTGTTGGCCGATGTGTGCTGGAATGTGTATCATGCTTAAAAGGACTTTTTCAGATGTTTTACATTCTAGATGTAGCTTTTGCATTATAAAAAGTATAAAACAACAGAAAAACAAAATCAGGATTTGCAAAATCTAACAGATTTTTTTCATGATTTTTTACACTAAAACCTCAATTATATGTTCATATATTTTGTCTTGAACAGATTCCCCTGCAGTGTTTGAAACCCAGGTGCAATGGATTTGTTCTAGTGTAGGGTTGTCCAACTGGCGGTCCCCAAGAGGTTATTGCGTGGCCTGTGGACTCCCACCCAGCTGCCACTCTCTCCATTGCTCCTGCTACTGTGCAGGACGGGATAGTGGGAGGGAGCTTTGTGAACTCGTTGCCTGCACAGGGCGAGGAGCTTATGCTGCCCACATAACAAGTGCAAGCAGAGGGCTTGAGGGTGCCTCATGCTACTGGCATGACAGTGCAGGGAGGAGCTTGCGCTACTTGCATGGTGTAGGGGGCTGTGCTGGCCCTGTGGTGGCAGTCCAAGGAAGCCCAGGCAGCATGCAGACTTTGGACACTGAAGTTGAACACTCCTGTTCTAGTGCATGACAAATAGAGAGCAAAGCAGACTTCAAACAGAAAGCAAAGCTGACCTGTTCTGCTTCAGTGCCCAGCAATGATATGCAAAAAGTAAACAACAAAATTGTTTGAAAGCAAATTAGATACAGGATAGATAATTCTTCCGGTTTTCTGCCAATTCTCTGACTGTGCCATTGATTTCAGAGGAAATCCTGGGCTTCCAAGGCTAATGTATTAATGCATTATTTTATTTAATGTATCAGGCCTGGCCTTCAACATAAGCAGTGAACCACTAAAACTAATGGAGTTATGCTATTTTAGAGTGATTGAGGATCTTGCCCATCATTTTTATCTCAACAGTGTCCTTTCCTTATTCATTGTGGAACATGACATTTCTCTTCCAGTTTGTTTTTCCTTTTTTTTTTTCCTCCCCCCATATCTGGAAGGCTTGTTTCACTAGAATATTGCATTCTCCAGTGATACCTGGTATATTACAGATGCGCTACCTGCAAATTTCCTTTGTAATGGCAATGGTAAAATAATAGCTTGTCTGCCTGTTTGTATTGACACAAGCTTTTTGTTGAAGCAAGTGACACTAAGGGGCCTGGCTGTGTCTTGTATTGCTAGGGATACCTCAGTCATGAACCACTCACGGAATGGCAGCTACAGTGAGAGCTCCCTGGAGGTGCGGATATGGCAGGAGGAGGAGGAGATTGTGCAAGCCAACCGGCGGTGTCAGGACATGGAATACACGTAAAGGACAGCTGTTAAATACTTACTGGGGTGGGAGTTGTGCTGAGGCCTCCTCGTACAATCCCCAGCATTCTTGCCATTTGGATTCCTGGATAAGCTGGGATACACCTGTTTAGCCCTTCACTTGGTAACTTTGACACCCCTGCTACATGTTATGTATATTATGCAATTTACTGGTTAAATGCACAATAAATTTAGACCATCCCCATGTGCAAATTAAGACTGGCCACAGGTGCAAAGTAATTATCACACAATTAACTGGTTAATCGTGCAATCTGTTTAGACCAGCCACACATGAAAAATAATTATCACTCAGTAAGAATGACTACTCAGTTTTAAAAATCCAACCAGCTACATAGTTAGTGCTTGAAAATTTATAATGGCTCTATAACTCGTTTCTCTCCAGATTTAATTTGAATGTGTAGCAGGGCCCTTAAAGGAAGGGCTTCTCTCCAATTTGATTTCAGTTTCAGTCTCCAGCTTTTGAAAGCTAAAAAGAGATTAGATTAATTCTGCCTCCTCCCCTGCCTGGATTTAAACCTTCTATGTGCTACAGAGAGACCTTCCTACAAATAGATGTCTCCGTTCTGAGTGAAAAGAGGCGGGTGTGTGAGGCTGCAAAATGCTTGTAGCACGTCAGTCAAACTTCTGCTTTTTAAAACAAGGCTGTACTAATAAATGCTGAATAGTTAACCCATCACCATATCATCTAAAATATGTGTATGTATATGTATCCAGTATCTACAGATCAGATAAACAGATAGCTATCTGGATTATATTTAATTTATTGTAGCATGTAGGTACATACCTTCCAAACCTAGCTCTAAAGTTGCGCACACGAAAAATTTCATATATAAGCATGTGACACAAAAAAACCCTGCTTGTGTATGTCCAAGTAGGTAATTAAAGGTGCAGCCATTCATTTGCCTATGCAGTTTCCTGTTATGAATATGCAAATTTATTTATGGTATTTTCAAATACCTGTTAGAGCTGGTCAGACATTTTAATCAGAATTTTTTTTGATAAAATAGATATCTATTTGATAACATCTCATGATTTTTTCCTAGGATTTCACTGAAAAACATGTTGAAAAGAAAACAAATCTGCTTTATGATTTTAAATTTTGGATAAAAGCCCAACAGGATAAATCCATACAGTATTCACGTACAAAAAAAAATTCCAATTTCTGTGGAAAATCAATACATACATTTGTTACCAGTTTGACTGTACAAATCTGTCTCACACATGGAATCTCAAGGAATTTATTGGGAAGTTCCTACAGGAGAGCAAGTTGATCAGGAACAGCTAGCATGGATTCACCAGGAGCAAATCATGCCTGACCACAACCTGATTTCCTTTTATGATAAGGTGGCTCTATGGGTGATGGGAGAGTAGTGGATTTGATATACCTTGACTTTAGCAAGGCTTTTGACACTGTCCCTGACAGCGTTTTCATGAACAAGCTATGGAGTTGCAGACTGGATGAAAGTACTATAAGGTAGATATATAACTGGGTATGGCTCAACGAGTAGCCGTAAATGGCTCAACATCTAGTTGGAAGCTGGAGTCCCCCAGGGGTCTATCTTGGGTTCAGTATTGTCTGATATCTGCATTAACTATGTAGATGATGGAACTGAGTTCACACTTGGCAATTTTGCACACAACACAACACCAAGTTGGGTGCGGTTGCAGACACTGGAATGTAGGGCTAGGATCCAGAATGACCTAGATAGACTGGAAAAATTGTTGGCAATCAACCAAGATTTGGCAAGGACAAGTGCAAAGTCCTCCACTTGGGACAGAATAATTGCATGCACAAATACAGATTGAGGAATGACTGGCTAGGTTGCAATGCTGCAAAAAAAGACGGGGTTACAGTAGGCCATAAGCTAAATAAAAGCCAACAGTGTGCTTTTGCTGCAAAAAAAAAAAAAAAAGGCCAACAGCATACTGGGTTGTTTTAACAGAAGTGTCACTTGCATATCAAGGGGAGTGATTCTTCTGCCCTGCAGTACAAGTGAGGCCTCACCTGCAGTCCTGTATCCAGCTTTGGACCCCACACTTCAAGAAGGATGGGGACAGTTTGGAAAGAGTACAGTACAGAGCAACAAAAATGATTAGGGACCTGGGAGGCAAGATTTATTAGGAAAGGCTGAAAGAACTAAGGTTATTTTGTTGAGAGAAGAGAAGACTGAGGAAGGATTTGAGAGTGTAAGAGTGATGTTGTAGTCATGATCCAAAAATTATTTTACAGGTAAGGATTTCTTAGGGTCATATATTTTATTGACTAACTATGTAGTTGGGATAAAGTTAGACAAGCTTTCAAATGCAAGACATTCTTTGTCAGGTCTCTGATCATAGGAAGCCAAGCACAGCATAGCAAAAAACAGCAGAAGGTAAGGGCTGAGAGAAAGTCTCAGGGGTAGCAGACACATGATTAGCAAAAGAGAGGAAGCTGATTACTGGGAGGTAATGGCCTATCAAAAGGGAAGAGGATCATTCTCACTTTTCTTCTCACCTTTGTGGGGAAAGAATTCAAGCATTGGTTAAAATATAATGTTCAACAAGCCCAATATCCATGTAGTCCTTGGTTCTTAGCATCCAACCAGCTTAAGAATTTTGTTCCTAAGTTCACTTTTAAAGATGTTGGGTAGCTTTCGCTTGAGCAGGGGAATAGTGAGGTTAGAGAGGGAGTGCTTGTTCTTTGAGAAAGTGCTCCTAATGTTTTGTATATGTCTTCATTTTTTATATTTTTCCTGTGAGAGTTCATACTGGTGGGAAGTGGCTACTCCTCATGTTCCTCATGTAGTTGCCATGAGTACACTTTATGCACTGAATCAAGTATATTACATTTTGGGAAAGACGTGTGTAGGAATCATGGATACTGATGGTTTCTTTATGGGGGGAGTTGATAGTAGTGGTAGGGGAGATGTGATGACAGGTTACAGGGATAAAAGTTGTAGGCATGTTGGTCTACGAATACAAGCAGTCAGTGTGCTAGAGCTTGCAAATCAAGAAATTTTTTTTCCAGCTGTCTGGTTGGTCTAATAAAAGATATTGCCTCTAACACACTGACTGATGACGGGTTAAGCATTTCTTGCCAAGGCCAGGCTGGGTTCACTTGATGTATGTTGGGTAGTGGAGACTGCTTCTGATGAAGAGTTAGGCAAAGTTAGGGGGATGTTTGAAAGCCAGGAGCAGAGGGGCTGGGAATATTTCTCTCCAGGTCTGATCTTTGTTGAGTATGGGCTGTAATTGTTTGGTGATTCTTCTGGATTAGTTCCAGTATGGGGTGGTAGGTCACCACCAGGGGTGAACAGGGGGGTTTCTTTTTATATTGTACTAAGTTACTGCAGGGTATTTGGATAGTTCTTTCAAATGTACAGTCTGTCTCACTACTGGGGTTGTCTAAAGGCACATTTTAGGTTGGTGAGGTGGGCATCACAAGTATTCTCTTCTGAGCCAGTGCACTGATATCTGAGGGCCTGGCTACACATAACAGCCTTTTGATGTGCCTGGGATGATTGCTGGTCTTGTAGACATAGGTATGGTGGTCTGTAGGCTTTCTAATAGTAGTTTGTAGGGTTCTGTCCCACATATGGATTGTAGTATCTAGAAAGTTGATGTTAACATAGAAGTATTCCAAATGATCATGCAGTTTTCTAGAAATTTTTCTTCCAGGTGGCTTATGAAGAGGTTGCCATATTTGAGGGGCCCAGCCATCTTTGTGTCCATAGCTCTGCCCATGGTTTGGAGGAAGTGACAATTGTTAAAAATAAAGTTTTGATAACAGTCTTTAAATACGTGAAGGGTGATTACACAGAGGATGGAGCTGGGCTCTTTTCTATGGCTGTAAGGGACAGGACTAGGAGCAATGGCCTCAAGCTTCAGCAAGGGAAATTTAAGTTGGAGATAAGGATTCTGACAATGAGGGTGGTCAAGCATTGGGACAGGCTATATAGAGAAGAATTTCCCTCCTTGGCAGTTTCCAAAAGCAGGTTAAACAGACACGTGACTGGGATGGTTTAGTCAGAGGTGCTCCTGCCTTGAGCAGAGGACTGGACTAGATGACCTTGTGTGGTCCCTTCCAGCCCTACTTCCCTATGATCCTGTTCTTATATGCATGCACATATGTACAGAAGATCTGATCCTATTTCCACTGAAATGATGGGAGTTTTGAAACTGCCTTCATTTAAAGATGGATAAGGATTTTATGCTGCCAGGGCAAATTAGGCACTTGATTTTGAAAATTCAGACCTTAAAAGTTTCTACCTCCCATCATGTGCTTATGTAGTACTTACATGTCATTTCAATTTTAAATACCCCCAAATCCTGCTGTTGTATTTGATTAAGTTCTGCCCAGCACCGTTTTCATTAGAATTATTTTTTTTTTTGTTTGTAGGGTCAAACGTTTTCAGTTTGATTCCCCATCCCATCATTCCTTGGGCCCGTTCTCAGATAATTTGATTCTTTCTAGTTTCAGGGTCTGTAGTGGAATGCTACTGTACACTTTGAAGCAAGGATTGTTGATTGTTTCCACACCCTTTGACAGAAATTAAGGAGCAAACAAACTCACTGAATCTTTTCACCTATTTCAGTGATAGTTGTTTTGGGTCTTAAGAGATTTCAGGAACACTGTTTACTTACTAAAATCTTTATGCCAAATGACTATAGGGTCAAATCCTAAGATCTTTACCAGGAGCCAGACAAACTCTCCAATGGCAACCTGCCAGAGTAAGCAACACAGGATTTGGCTTTTTAACATAGTGGAGCAACCATAATTGCTCATTTACTAATTTGAGTAGCTTTAACAGTCCATGGCATATTCAGGCCATTGTTCAATTTATTCTTGCTAGTTTATTAAAGTCATATCAGTGGATCAGTTTAATTAGCATCTCAGTTTCATGTAGTTGCTAAGAAATAATGCTTAATTAGGTTCTGTCAATGTCCCACAAAAGAAATAGTGGAAGTTTTAGTGCTTGAGTTACTTAAAACTGGAGAGGACAAAGCAGCTAAGAATATGCTGCAGGGAACAATCTTGCAAAGACAAGAGGGAGGGAGTAGCTGGGATCTAGCTGTTCTTTTCCATCTCTGTAAGCAGACCTTCATATTTTGGCAGGATAAAGAATCTCCATGCAAAAATCATTGAAAAAGATGCCATGATCAAGGTCCTTCAGCAGCGTTCACGAAAGGATCCTGGGAAGACTGACACTGCAAGCTTACGGCCTGCTCGATCGGTCCCATCCATCGCTGCAGCAACAGGGGCACATTCCCGCCAGACCTCTCTCAGCAGCAACCAGATTGCTGAAGAGAAGAAGGAAGAGAAGACTTGGAAAGGTAGCATAGGTGAGCTGCAGTTTGAGCTAAATACTGGCAATGCAAATGCCTTCAGAGAAAGGAAGGATAACTTTCTGTCTGAATCAAGAAGTGGCTAGAATGATGGCACATTGTCCTAGGCAATCCTTGTTGGATTAGTGTTCCCAGAAAAAGAACCCGCATTCTGTTCCTGAGCTAAAATAAAGCCTTACTGGGCCATTTTGAAAAACGTGAGTTCATATTTCCTTATAGTTCATTAGCAAAAATCCTTCTCTGGCCAAAATGGGAATAAAAGACAATGGCAGCTCTTGAAGCTGTGGAGAGTCAAATACAGCCTAAGCCACCATGTTACTGTATGCTCCTATGTTCCTCTATGCTCCTGTGTACCGGGACAGTTATATCCTTTGGAGATTCACCGCTGCAGGCAAGCCAAAAGTATCTGCAGCCTTCATAGCAGTAAACATCTTGTCTGGCCTAGGAACATTTGGATTTAACTTAAACAAGACACGTTAGACAGGAGATTGTAATGTGATATGTCAGCAAAAAAGGGAAAAGAGTGAACGCAGTTTTTTCAGCAAGCAAGCAAAACTGCGGGCCAGTGATATCCTCTCTCTATAGGGCATTGCTGAGGCAGCTAGATACAAGCAAACAAGAAAGGGTTTGCAGGAGTGCTGTTATTCTGAAACAACTGTTTTATGAAAAAGGGCGAAAAAGAACTGAGTGGGTTCAGCTTGGGGAAAGGTTTATGAGGGTGTTGTGATAATAGCGTAAACACCAGCAAAGAAGAAAAACAGCAACGAAACAAGATACAGTGAGGGGTAATGTGATCAAAACCAGGGCCTGGTGCCGTCCTTGTCATGTAGCGGAAGAGAAAGGAATGTATATGGAGATAAGCTGGGAAAGTGAAAGACTGGGAATAGCACCTTCATTCTCCTTCCCTCCTTGGTAGCTCAGTCAGGTTGCCTCAATCTCTACTCTGCAAGGCTTCAGGGACAGGAAAGAGGGAGTCTGTAGCAGCTGCTATAGGTGGTATACTGCACTTTTAACTGATCAGTTATGCTTATTAGGAAACCACAGGGAGAAGAGGAAGGTGGAAACACTGTAGGGCTGGTAGGGAGGAGGGAAGGAGCACATATTTAAAGCAGATTTGGGCACACAAACAAGTCAGCACAGGGCAAAGTGCTTTGCCAGGTGTCCACAGCTCTGCAAAATCTATCCATTTCTGCTTCCTTTCTGTGTTAAATGAAAGCTGACTTACCATCTTTCACTTGGGACCTTGTCTTGCGTAATTTGTTTGTATGCTCGTTCCTTAAGCTTGTGCAGTCTCCAGGCTCTTCAGCACTGAGGTGCATCTCTCACCATTCCTGACCCCTCTCCCCCACTTGAGAATATTTTTTTTCTATGGACTACAGAAAAATCACTCTGCAAGCTGAATAAAATGAAAATCTTTCTTATGGTGAGAGCTAGGAGGCAGTCTCTGAGGGACATTTTAAGAACAGTTTTTGTAGCTGGATAGTGGACACCATATTGAAGGAGATATGGTATTTAAAACTAGCCTGGATAAAGCCGCCAGTCAGAGTTCCTGGGGAAATTGTCTTGTCTGGAGAAGAGGATTTGCTGGGGAATAGAGCAGGTCTTTTCCATTCCTTATTTTACTGATATAATTGTCCTTGTGTCTTTTAGGGTTGCTTTTAGGGAAGGATCATCATGACCATTCATCAGTCCCAGCTATGCCACCTCCCCTTCCCTCTCTGTCATGTGCAACTGCATCATTACCGGTGAGCGCCTCCCATGCTAAAACAGGAAGCAAAGACAGCAGCACTCAGACGGACAAAAGCTCAGAGCTTTTTTGGCCAAACACTGCCTCTTTCCCAGGCAGGGGAAGGTTAAGCACCACCCCGTCCAACAGTCCTGCCCTGAGGCACACCGGGGCCAAGGGCACTGGAGAAAAAGTGGGTAAGTGATGCCAATCTTCATGATATAGGTAGTGTGTAGAAACTATGGAGACTACAGCTACATACTATTTGAAAGAGAGATTATAAGGAAAGCTGTAGGTAAGCAGACACCTAATAGATATAAATTGCTTGATGGTTATTACACTGACAGAGAGAGATTAGACCAACTCACATGCTTTGGTTTTTTCAAACTTCACAATTCAGGATTTAGATTTCATAAGGCTCCACTAAATTGTTGAAATGTCAGGAAATATAATTATTTATGCTGCCAAAAATACTATAAGGATTCACACATTGAAAGTGTGTTCATATATTTAAGCAAATGTTTTTTGGAGAATTATCCCCGTTCAAACCATTTTAAACATCAGGGGCATTACCACGGCGTGCAGAGTATTCAGAATCAGCTTCTTCCAAAAATATGCTTAAACCCTTCCTTGATGGAAATCCAGTATGCCACTAAAAACCTCCTATGTTGAAAGAAGTTGCAAAAGAAAGGGATTATGTTTCCAGATTGCAAAACTGCAGCATTAAAACAGGAATTCTGTCCCAGAGGGCATAAGTGGCTGGCAGCTTGTTCCACTCTAACACAGAAGCCAAAGCAGATCTCTCTCTTGTTAGCTTAGCAGGGCTGATTTTCGCCTTCAAATGTATAGTGAGAGAGGCAAGGATTTCTGTGAATGACATCTTTCTTTGGATCAACTGCATGGTGCATCCAATAAAAGATATCACAAACAAAAATCCTTGCCTCGTGCCTATTTCTTTGGACTATCATGGCTACTATATCACTTCAACATTACCACAGATAGTGAGAATTTTTTCCCTCCACACAGATTTTGGATTAGGTTTAGAAAATGTTTTGGTGCATCTGAGATCAAGATTTGCTTTCTTTCATCCCTATCACAGAGAACACCCCCAGCCATGGGAAGCCACTTGATAACAAAACCCGAGTAAGCAGTTTGATCAACAAGCCTGAGTTTCCTGACACAGATATGATGGAAGTCCTTATCTGAGGAGACGTAACTTCCTTAGCGCTTGTACAGCTCCATTCAAGTCAAAGGAGGCCGTTGTGCAAATCTTAAAACTAGGTATACGAGTTTGAAAAAAGATGAAGAAAGTTTGGATCTGGAAGGAGCCTAGGGTTTGGAGTGATTTTGACTTGGAACCAGAGAGGGAGAAAAGAGTTGTGAACATGGGATCGTGGATAATGAAAATGAACATGAATGGCTGGGATATTCTAACAACAAAAGAGCACTGGTTATGACATGTGGATCGAGAATGAGAAGGTGAAGGAAAAAGGAAACTGCATTTTCTAATGTAAAGAACAAGTATCTTTAATATTTATAGTGGATGCATACACGATGTTCCAAATGCTGTTCTGTTTTACTGTTTAGCTACAACCAAGACTGAGGGTGAAATCCTGGCTCTTTAAAAGTCAGTGGGAGTCTGTGAATTGTCCAGCAGAAGTTTACACTCTTCTGAGACTTAGTCATTATCCAAAATTGTTCACCAAATAGTCGTAGTGAATAAAACCTTGACTGTAGATCATGCACTACCCAGCTATTATCAGTATTTGTTTCAAGCCATGTTGGTTTATTTTGATTGGACATACAGGTCATGTGTTTGTTTCCTCAGTGTAAGTCTTGGGATCAGGTTTACAGTGCAATCCTTTGTGTTTTTTAGATTCAAGACTTGCCTAGAATGCTCTCTTGCCAAGAGCAGTCCTTCACTAGAATTTTCTTGCAGGTGAGGATTAAAGAGGCACAAATTCCAGCAGAGCAATCTGTAGTACTCTTACGAGAAATGTTTCTTAAAAAAAATGAGGAGAGCTCACTCATCTCTAACACACACACACATTCACTGTGTTTAGAAGCAAATAATACGAAAAGTGCTAGAAGCTTTTACTCAGGATGTAGTTGGAGTCAGTGGCTGCACAGAATGTGGACTAGTTAGCATCAAGTGCCTGGCAGGTAGCAACAAGAGCCTCTGCCAAGTATATTCTCTTGAGATAAGCTTAGAGCTCATTAAAATAATACTTCAATACACGGCAATATCTGTCTAAACTGATCCAGCTTGTTATACTGTCAGTGGAGGAAATTTGATTTGCCAGGTGTACCCAGATGTAAGGGAGGGTGAATTTGAACATGTAACAGGGTGAAATTTAGCTAATGGTTACTAGGAAGGGGAGGAGAATATAGTTGAGAGGAAAATACCAAGATTATTAACTGGTTTTTCATTGATTCTGTTGGAGTTAATCTGGGTTTGCTGATGAGAACAAAATCAAGCTTCTAATGTGTATGAAATAACAACAACAGATGAATCAAAATGTTTGGGATAAGAAATGCTACATTTCCCCTCTGTTAAATATTGGTGCGTAGGAATGGAGGGCCAGATTGAGGTTCCTAACTCTCAGTGAAATCATTGATGGTCTCCACCCACAAGTCGGTGTAAGAATTGATTCTCATGACTGCATACACAGTTCATTTTGTTGGCTTGTTTTCTACAGCACCTGATTGCAGTACTGTCTCACTCAAGCACTCGTTATTTGTGAATCGGGATTAGGGGACTGGCCTTGAACCTTCATCCCAGCACACATACATGTTTAACATTACATAATTCAGCAGCTGAGTGTCCTTCAGGTATTGTGATTAGTCATTATCCAAAATTTCAGTGTCGTGGATGTGTATATTTGCACATGCCTAAAAGTTAATGGATGTTGCCTGTCCTAATTTTTGTTCTTAGATGGTGTCACACACTGCTGTTCAGAAGTGCCAGTAATAGACCTAGGCCCACATGAGCCCTTAAAATAAAGCTTAGATGGGACTAACATGGCACAAGCACTATATAAAGGGGTCCCAAGACTGCTTTCTTCACAGGATTGAATTTCATCCTGTGTGATTCTTCTAGCACTTATTCAAATATAAGTTTTCTGTGGAACAAGGCTCTATATGCGGAGCTCCTCAATGGCAGGCTATTGCTATGCTGGAATTCATCTTTCAGTCAGGTTGATTGCTTAAGGAAAGGTCACAAGCAATTTTGTTTAATAGGAAAAAATGGGCTTTTTCTTTTTCCATTCAATCAGAGCTGGATGTTTTTTGCTCAAAATGAAAATAAGAAAATTACATTTGGGCCAAGCTTTGCAAGAGTCTCCCCAAAACAAATAGCATCTTAACCATAGTGACCATTTTTCAGCCCACCCCCATTATTGGAGAGGTTAGCATGGCTAAGCCTGCCGTGTGGAACTGAAAGTGTAGACCCTTTCTGTGCTGCCTTGGCTTAGCCACTGTCTTGTCCTGTTTCCTGGGGCAACTCAGTTAATTTCTCCTGATCCCTTTCACTACTGTTTTGCAC